AAAAAAAAAAAAAAAAAAAAAAAAAAAAAAAAAAAAAAAATACCATAGGTAAAGTCTGTGCCGTCAGCACTGACCTTACGTGGCGTTTTACACACACGATAAAACTCGATTCTGTTCGCGCGATATATTTTCACCAAGTGACGATTAAGTTCGTCAAGTGAAGCGATGACATATCTGAACGCAATTCTGGGAGCTCTCTGTTTTTTTTTTGCGAAAACGCGACCGATAACGCGAATCGCCGTGAGGTGACGAATTGGAGACCGCAAACTTGACCCTATCTGCGGCGGACAGCACGGAAGCGGAAATGGGTCAGACGAGATTTCCACGCAAGACGCCTCGTAATACAAATCAAAGTCCACAACCAACGGTTTTTCTCCGAATTAACGGTGCAACGTTCATCCCTGCGATTTATTTTTTTTTTTTTTTTGTTTTCTCAGAGAAAAAGATGGTCAGTTCATTTTTGTAAACAAATCGAATTTCTCGACGCACGTACGCTTCGATAATCATCATCTCGCAACTGCCGGGGATCAAGGTGGGGGTTTTTTTCTCTTCCTGAAACGTGACATCTGGATGCCGCGGATCGACTCGGAATCTCGATTTAATCTCGAGGAAGTTCCAGATGCGAACGAACTTACAGCCGTGGTGAATTATTGTTCGAGCTTTTTATATACAGCAGACACAAAAATATCTCATTTTGTGAGACAAACGCATGATGTTGTTCTCTTGCAGCCGAGATTGGAAATCATTTTAGAGTAGATAATAAATTTAAAGAACACAAAACAAATTCGCGAACTTGTTAATTCGCGGAGTGAATTTGTTGTTTTGAAGTGAAACCTGTCTGAGAACGTTCTCGCGCCCGAAGAATTTTCTTAATTAAACACGCCATCCTTCGTGTATATCATATATGCAACGCCTCTGCAGGACGACCTCGCTCCTCTCTGGAAGGAAGGCCTCTCCTCGTACGTCGCCAAGCTCGCACACACGCTCGCACGCGTGCATATAAACGGAAACCCTTCAAGTAGCCTACCATCCACCTCGTGTGTACAGACACTTCTGTCACGCACGAGTGGAGGGAAACGCGTAAGGTACAAGTGCACGCGTAGGTGCACCGCGTTGCACTTACATATACGCCTAGAATTCACCCCTCTTTTCCGCTGGACACGAGGGGATGCCGAGAGGGGATACGGGGGCGGCTCTCAAACCCCGGGATATCAACTGTGGGTGCGTGCGAGAGAGCGCGTTTTCTCCGGACTAGAATCTATATCGCGGGCGCAAAATTCAAGGCTCGCAACTCCGCGTTTCTTTCTTGTTTTCCAACGACAAGCTTTTTTTATTGCTGTGATTTTTCGCGTAAAAAAAAAAGCACGTTGCACGCAACGATTGCGCGATTGTTATCTCGAGCACAACGGCATTAGACATTAATTTGACGTCAAAAGCCAATAACAAAAGATCTAATGAAAAGATCTAATAAACGTAATAGTCGTAAAAGAAAAAAATTTTTTGTTATGTTGAATGTAGAGCCTAATGAAAATCATCGTGGAAACGATGTTGAAAGAGACGTATTCCGTGTTTTGCCTCGCAACATTTTCGCGGAATTTGCGCGTGCCTGACCTCCAGTTTCACCCTCTCTACGTTTCACCCGACCTTCATCCCTCTTCCCGTTCGTTTGTTCGTCTGTCCTCTTCTAATCGACGTGAAACCAAAATCCTTTACTTTACGATCTTTCAGATTCCGCAATCAGCCTCTCTCTCTCAACATCTATATTCGACATTTTTATAAAGTAACAAGTACAAGGAGTTAATCTGACTCAAGATTGTACGAAAAAATCCAGAAGTTATTTAACGAGACAAGTCGTGGATACAGCAATAAAACAATCATCTTGAAACAAAGTACAATTTTATATTTTCTTTGTATTATTCATACAGAGTTTTTAAAACACTTAATATTAATAAATGGCAACTGTATATTTCAAATACATTGTTTTCGTAGCTGTTTTCGCATAATAAAAAAACGTCTTCTTTTAAATCTTATTAATATGAGATTATATTTTTCTTCGTTTCTCTTAAAATTCGTTGAAAACAAGAGAAATAATCATTCCACATAAATAATCTAACCTAGATTGAAAAACAATTCAATTTTTCATCTTAAACTACTTACTCTCAAAATAAACATGGTATTAATTAAAAAATTAACTGAAATAATTCACAAGCGGCACTAAAATCCAGAACTATACCGTACGTACGTAAAGACGTTGAAAAATAAGAGGTATTCGACGAGTTTCAGAGGTATTCGATATGTTTCACTTCAATCAATAAAGAGCAAAAAGATTCATTCTATATTAAGGTAGAACTTAAAATAAAACGTGTATAAATATACCATATAAAAGTTCGAATATGTATCAAAAACGCTATTTCAAATATCTTCCGGAAAGAAATTTAAGTCGCTATAATTTTCGCCACCGAGATAACAATAAAAAAAGCCGCATAATATACTTCGACAAATTATAAATGTTTCACTTGTTTCTGCTTTAACACCGCTGGTAAATATGTAACCGAAACGAATAACGCGTGTGGTACTTGCTTGTGTACTACACACGCATCCTTCATAGAACGCTACATTATCGATACTCACTTTCAACGCGCGCGATATGAAGCGCACTCTGCGTCGAGTTGTAAAAGTTTGCGATGAAAACCAACGCGGTTTGACTTCAATTTACCGTCGAGAAAACCAAGAGTTTTAATTTCATTTATTAAAAAAACAATTGCACAGTTATCTGTTTCAAAAATTTTGTATAATCTCGCACGTACAACCGTGCGGGAACCAAAACACGTCGGTGTAAAGTCGATTTCCGCTTCCCTCGAGAGCGACCAATCTCTTCTGCACGTATTGCTGTTGACATCTGCTTGTATACCCCTCAGGAACGGAACATATACCGTTGCATTCGTTATTTCTGAAAAACACAGACAATGACAAGAGCAAAATGTATGTGTCAACATAGAAATTAGAAATAAAATTAGAATAAAAGAAGTAAATCCGCAAGAGGTATATGAGTTTGTTTTAAGAGAACGTGGCCTCCCCAGTTCAAGCGTCAATTCTTCAAAAGTTCACTTACAAACATTTCTCGCTTCTGACGAGCTGCGTGTACTTATCTTCCTGTCCCGGCAGATTGACAACGTACATCCAGTTGCCCTGATTGTTCAAAGCGGCTCTGGGAGCGATGTACTGTGCTTGCGTGGGGCACAGAAGAACGGTGTTCGGACTCGATTGTCGTTTTACGCGTTTATCGCTCTTGAGTTTCGCGTGTTCCAACAAAGGATTCACGTGATAAGACCGCGGTGCTACTTTGTCGCTTCGCGAATATCTAGAATATTCAATGCAAATCGCAGACATCTCGTGCACGAAGCCTAATTCTAATTTCGCTTCACGCAAATATCTCTTTACCTGTTCATTAGCCACGACTGGTTCGGTCCAAACACATTTAAGGACTCTTGCGAGTAATTGATGTGATCGATTTGCCGTTGAATGTTCTGATGATACTTCAGAGTTACTTCCGGGAGAAAAGGATTTCGCTGAGACTGCGACGGCGCGAAATATTTGTAACTGCAATTTCATTAAACAGAAAAAAAAAAAATTAAAAACTCCGATTCGATGTATGCAACACAAATATATCGTCAAGAAATTTAAGCTCATGTTCAACTAAAAGATAGTTTACGACAATATTATTTTTAATGCAAGTCAATATATGTGCAAATGTCAATATATGTCAGTATAATATATGTGCAAATAAACTTTTAAATATATAAATTAATACAATTGAAAATTCAAATTAATCTCAATTCAAAAACTCATCTAAGATGCTTAATTTGCATTTTTTGCGCGTTTTTAAACTAAAAGTAACATCACGTGACTGTAGTCATGTGGTGTTTTTCCTCTCGTTCCTGTCACGAGATCTTACTTTACACACATTTTTAAAGACACACGACCAAAGTAAAGTCACATGACTTTAGACACGTGTTTTGTTTTTCTTCTCCTCGCTGTCACGTGACCTTACTTTAGTGACGTTTGTAAAGACGGTGCGCGCACGGCGTGGCGCGTGCTCTATTTTAATAAAGATTTTATAACAATTACGATATAACATTAAGTGCTATTTTGAATACAATTTATTTAATAAGAAAAATATTTTCTAATTTATATCACCAAAGCAACGATTAAAAGTAAAATAAATAGATTAGATAAGAGAGTAACATTTTCTAACTGATAGCATCAAAGCAACAATTGAAAGTAAAGTAAGTAGATTAGATAAAAGAAAAACATATTCCAAGTGATTACCAAAGCAACGATTGAAAGTAAAATAAGTAGATTAGATAAAACGCGAATAAATTTGATTCAAAATTGTTGCTACGACGCTCTTTCAGAGCGTTACAAATATTTTTAGAACAAAACATTTGAAACAACAAGTTTGAATCAAAAGTATTCATGTTTTATCTAATCATCCATAGCATATAGTTCGATCCTAATATTAAGTCATGCGCGGTATCTCACCTGTGATAACGGCTGTTGTTGGACGGCGGTCCATAAATCGGAGCCGGCTGTCTTCTCTGTGCGTATAATTGACCATCGCCTTGTCGCGGATAGTCGTAGCCTTGACTGTAATTCGGGGAAGAGCTTGGAAACACGATTGTGAAAAATATAAATATACAATATACCGTAACAGCCGGTAATGTTTACTCGCGCATCAACGAGCAAGCATTTTCTGACTTGATAAAAATAGCGCGAAATTACTCAACTGTGCGTTCGCAACTTATCTCTGCGCTTTGCACGCGTAAACCTTCTTCTATCACTCGTCTGCGATAATTGCAGAGAGATAGAGAGTTTGCGCGAGATACATACTCATTATACCTGTACGAATTGAAGTCGTCACGAGATTCGTCTCGCAATGCGGTGCTAAAGTCGAAGCTGCACTTGTCGACGAGAAACTTGATGAGTTGTCTGTAGACAAAAAAACGAATAAACAAAAACTATCTTAAGTGTCTTTCGGAATACAATGCGGCGAAAAAAATCATCGCATAATGTATCTCTCCTTGGAGGATTATTAAATTTGACCTTTGGCCCCCGCGGCTCGAGCCGAGATCTTGCTGCAACGCGCGTATCAAGGACTGAACGACTATTGTATTGCGCGTCGAGTCGCGACCGAGATTTGTCTCTCGTGTTTGACAAAAAAAAAAAAAAAAAAAGAAACGCTATTTACGCAGGTGCGTTCTCGATTGAGTTGCGCAATTTACGTTAGATTCAAGCGAGCATTTATATATGAGAGAGGTGCAGCGGGGCCGCTTGTTTGCGACAAAATAACACGCGGCGCTAATACGATAGGCCGGTTCAAGTCGGTCAATAATTTGATATTTCTGACGTTCTAATTGATTGCTGCGCCGACGGGTTGTGTGTCCACAACCATCAATGAATTGACAGCTGTCGCTGTGAGTTTCCTCGGTTATTAGAATTATTTAACTTGCACGAGCGCGATTACATATCTGTATTTGTTTTAGCGCGAGAAAGTTTGCAACTTGTGTGTAACGACGGGATGATGACGCAATGTGCAAATATTTTCCCTCAAACATCCGAAATGGCGTGTTCAGTATCCGAAGAGTTCGTTTTGCACATGAAATTATTGTTGCATAAATAAATTTATCGAAATATTATACTTGTCTTGTCGTCGCTTATTTTCACGCGCGTATCTGTCACGCGTTCGTATATATTATTCACGACGCTTACGTGAACGTTCGCGTTATCTTGCGTGTTACCTCTCTCGCGGAAGGACAGGGTTTATTCAATAAGAAAAAAAAAATTGAGGAAGTACTGGGGTACGCACGGCAAACGATCGATTTAAGCCTTAGTTGTTGTAACAAGATCCAATAATTACATCCAACAGCGTATATGACCGCGCCAAGGCCACGGTCATGGTACGCTGAGCAACGATCTCACGGACGTTCTTACGTTGTAATAGACGCGCGAGAGAGACCGCTCACTTTACGTAATTCCCGACTTCTTCTTCGGAACAGAAGAAGAAGAAGACTTGCGCGCGCGCGCGCGCGCGTGGAAAACCGCGGCGCAACGCGCGCGGTGAAATTTGGGAAATCGCAGCCGACGAAAGAAGGGCGTCGAGCGAAAAACTTCTTCAAGCGTCGGATGCGTGTGTGTCGACAAAATGAAAAGTAGTCTTTTCGCACAGCCGTGCGTTAGAATAGGTGTAATAATTTATTGCGCAAAGTATCCGGCAAAAGGTATAAACCTCACATCCGTGCTTTCGGATTCTCTCTTACATCGAAAAGAAGAGAGTTTTAACGGACTTTCCCCTAACGGAAGTTTTTCTCGACACGCGCGTCTCGGTCATTCGTATGCATAGAGGAAGGTGGTGGACGGCGAAAGGAATATCAACAATCGGGAATATGGGTCGACCGGATCGGCGGTCGCGAATTTCCACTTGTTGCGTTTAACCTGTTTATTTCGCGATTCTCGATCGAGGTTCTTTCAAAGAAAGAACGTGCTCTTACCGCGGATAATGGTCCAAGGTTTCGCAAAAGGTTTGACCCGGCGGCGCGCAGTTCGGGGTGCGTCCAGGAGGCGCGGGAACGAAGGGTTCGTACTGCGGTCGTCCCGGACATCCGTATTCTGTGCAGGGCTCGCCTCGGGAGACTATGAAGCAGAACTGTTGCCGATTCACGTATGAAAATTGTGTATCGTGTTGTGAGAAAAGTTAGAAATATTAGTTTTAAATTCTTTTGCGGTGACGCGTAATGAGAAGAAAATTCTACACAATAGCACTACCCGCAACACACGACAAAGGATCATTCATCAGAATAACGCGTATGTTTGATTGTCACAAAGAGATTTAAAATAAAAATCTCGACTGAAACTCAAAAAAGATCGAAAATCTTTTCACTAACATGACCGCAATAAAAGTAATAATAATATAACACGGGAAAAAGATTTGTGCCGATAGCAAGAAGACTAGTACATGGCCAGCAAGAGAAATTTGCTAGATATATTAACTTTGTTTTGCAAAATGTTTTGGTGATGAAATAAAAATTTCGGTAGATAATCTAACAATGGCTTAAAAAAACTTACGATTTAATCAGAAATAAAAAATTTGTAAAACACATAACCAACGAGTTCGGACACCAAGTATTCGAACTCCTATTGGCCTCCTTTTTCTCCACTTCTTTTATTTGTTAAATTCAGCAGTAAGCTCAACAAAGTTTTCTTGTCCATATAATAGCAAAACTTTTTTTCTCTTTTGTGTAATAAATCCGATAAAATTGTCATTACCAATTCCAAACGCAAATAATCTCATTTCCTGATCGTTTTCCTGCATGGCTAAAAAAAGATACATAGAGAAAAAAGTTTTGTTATTATATGGCCAGTAAGAAAAGTTTGTTGCCTATTGAATTTTTTGTTTCATCAACAAGACGTTTTATGTCGGCGCATTTCGCAACAGAATGATCTCACGCCGTACAAGTTACATCGTGTATTTCAACAAAATGTTTTTTATTGGCAAAACAAAACTCTCAATAGACTTAGCAAACTTTTCCATATAGTAACTACTTTCTTGCTATTTCAGCAAATTTTTTTTTCCCCGTGCAAAATCGCGCGATTTGTATTCGAGGTTGAACACACGATGTAACTTGTGTAGCGTGAGATCGCCTTGTTGTGTTGCGAAATGCGCCGGCATAATGTAATTGTTCCGCTTATCGGAACATTTCCTGTGTGTGTGGAACGAATTTTTCTTCCTTTCGGAACGTCATTAATCGGTTCTGAATCACAATCCGTGCGTGATTCGATAGATTAAAAAAAAAAGTGTCAGTGCTGTAAATCAGACGGATGAGTCAATGAAAATCGCGATTAGAAAGGCGGTAGCGGCGTTGATGCAAGGAGAGACGTTTACATCAGATTTATTAATTCCAGCTTTTTCCACACACGTTACTCCGTTGCGATCGATTTATTGTAATTGTTAACGCTTAAGCATTAAATTGAATCGAGCCACTTACGATTGTTATTAGGTGCCACGCGAACGCCATTTCGATCTATTCGGTTTTATGATTCACCCCTTCCGTGACAGAACCTTCTCTCCTGTGGTGAGCGCGGCAGGTGTCTCGGCAGGAAGGAGGCCGCAAAGTCACTTAATTGGCATCGCGTGCCGATCAATCGTCGTGCGATGTCACCGCTGATAAACGATAACGCTCAAAAAGATCGCTGTCCCGAAGACGACCGACGCAAAAGAAAGAAGAAAGTTCTTGACGACAGAGATATCTCAAATTGTAATTTATGGTTCAATATATACCTTGTTGAAATTTTCAAATAAATCGACTCAGCGATCGAGTCTCGACCCCCGAAATCGAAGACTTGTCGAAGTTGTGGAAAGGATGAGAAATTCACCGTTGGAAGAAAATTAATTTCTTTCCTCCTCTCGGATATTTTAAGTGTCAATTGTACTGTAACGCGCGAGAAGGAGGCTCCGTCGGCACCGGACTATGACAGACTATGACCAACCATAACGGACGTATCCGCTTTTGGAGCCAGCGTGATTCGAAAGTGTCCACGTTCGGGTCCAGACACTGGCGCGATTCGGTTCTATGCGCCGCGAGTCTACCTAGCAACGTGGGATATACGTGGATATAATACTCGTGTATGACCCCTTCCTCGAACAAGCGTGCACGAGTTCCGCAGACTCAGGGGTGGGGTAGACGGACGCATACTTTCACTGGGATATACGTGCGCGAGAGATTCATCGACCTTATGACAGCGGCGAGCCTGAGTTTTTCTCCGCCGGTGACACGGATACATCTTGATTATGTGATATTAATGTCAGGAAAGAATAAAAAGAGAAATGCTATCTCTTCTCTCGTGCATATAATATTTAAAAAAAAACTCGCCATTTAGCCGAAACAAAAATCTTTTAAACTTCTTTCGTTCAAGATGTTGCACATATGTCTCTCTGACTGTTTAACTTGTAAATTCACGCATGTAAACTCCCCATGAAAAAATCAGTCCCGCACATGTGAACAAATTCGATATCTAGTTATAAATAATTATATGTAATTGCAAATGGTTATAAATAATTATATACGATTAAGTGTAATTATATATAATTATATATAGTTTTATATAGATGAGTGTTTATATATAATTATACATGTATT